TTATATCCAAAATTGGCCCCTCCGTCTCTGTACTCCTCCAACCCAGTTTCAATTTGTTGTTATTTAACCATGACCGCTTCTCTTCATCTTGATCAATTTTTTGAAGATTCCAGAACCAGCTCTCTCTCGGAGTGCAACATATTTTATACCCTCTATATTTCAAGCTAACTTCTGAAAGGTCTACTTTATAGCCGAAAAAGGTCTACTTTAATTACGGGGACCATCTTAGACCTTGGCCTATCAGACCCTGGAGGGTCAGCCATTCTAGACCCTAGTAGTTAAGGGTATGATTTCTATAGGATAGATATATTTTAATAATGTCAAGGTATCAATATTAAATTGCTAAGCGCGGGGTTATTTCAAAAATTTATATAAATTGATTATATATTATATATATATATATATTATATTATTGGTTTTTTTCAATATGTAATATGTAGAATATATTTATATATTATTGATATATACATTTTAGTCTGTGGACAATATGTATGATGTGGAATCGACACCCTACAGTCCTGTAACCAAAGGTAAGGATCCGTAAAGCCAATACCAATGTCAATATATATTGCCTCTGGGGGAATGGGGAGCCCCAAATCACCATCTCCCTCAGAAGGGTTGCTCTCTCTGCTGCCAAAGAAGCCGGGTACCTCATGACCCAGAACCCCAGAACAGGAGGAGTGATGAAAACCTGTTTGGTAAACAGATGTTCGCAGAGATGTCTGTCAAGGCTGTGACCGAGTCTTTAGTCGCATCCTTACCTCTGGGCAAACGTTAGCATCTTCAGTCACGAGTCATGAGCTCGATCTCAAGCACTGGGGGATTGGCCTCAGAGCTGGGTGGCTCCGATGCCACAAATTCAGCAAGAGATTTGAGAGGCTCTCTTCCGATTCACTGGTTCACCCCATCATCGGTTGCTTCTGATATTTGCTGTGTGTTGGTGACTGATAAAGATGTCTGTGAAAATGGCGAAATTGAACGCCAAGGCGCGGCTCGCATCGCACGCTGCCCTTGGTTGGCAGCGCCACAAAAAGAGGCAACGGGCAGCAGGTGAAATTACTTGCGACCGTGCCACTTGTAACACAAAGCTCCTTGGTTGTCTCACCAAGTCCTAGCCGCCTGAAACAATCCACCGAAATCCACATCAAAACAAATCTTGATGTTCGATCCACATCAAGAAGTGGGAAGCCCCGTCGGCATTCTGCAGCCATGGGACGCCGAATCCCACGGCAAGTAGGCTGAATTGAAGACCTCAACACCTGCGAGACTGGTCCGATGGATATGAGGTCACCTCAAAATCAATACAACAACCCGCCCACTTAAGACTTTCAGATTGTCTTGGACACCTTCGGACCTCGTGTCCGTTCTCAGGCCCTTCACCTAGGTCCCTAGGTGTTATGGGCCCAGTGCCTGTGGATCTTTGCACTGGTTCTCCGTGAGGTTGCTGCCGCGAAGACAACAGCGCCTAGGTCGCTCGATCAAAACAGAAACACCTGCATCGTGGTCAATGTAAGACACACAGAAGACCTAGGCAGCCTACGCGGCATGGTCCGACCCTTCTTCTTTGTTATTATGTTTCTTTTCATATTTTGTCTGATCTTTCTTTTGTCGTTCCATGTTGTTCCTTCGGAATGGCCGTAGAAAACCTCGAGTTCTCTCTGCCCGATGAAGATACCAAACTATGCGTCCACACCTGCTGATTCTCAGAGTGCTTGCGCTTGGGGTCCGGAACCTCTCATCAGGCTTGCGCTTGTTCTGAAGCAGTGCCCACGGGTTCACAAATCATATCCAATCCTCAAGCTCAAAGACCAGAAATGGCTTCGGCACAGCCCATCCAGCTGCTGATGAGAAAGTCTCCTCAAGACTCAAGAGCTGTGAAGCTTGCAGAATATATGCTGGCATTCTTTTTCAGGCTAGATGCTTCAGTCCCTGCATCCAATCTGCAGCTGGCTAAAGCGATGGTATCCCCATCTTGTATCCTTGTGCAACAGCCATCACCATCATCACAAACTATTCAAGAAGGAAACGTGAGAAAGCCCATCAGCTTCTGAAACTTCCCCTAAGGCTAGGGCCCTAGGGCTACGAAGGGATTTCAAGGCGTGGGATTCATGCGGTTTACTCTGCCAAAGTCTCTGCTTCTCTCCAGCGTCAGGCCCAAGAAACTCGTCATTCAGAACTAGTCCATTTGGAGACAAACACTGCCTAAGCAAACAGAAATCTGCGCTTTTGAAGGCGCCTTCAGCCGGACAAAAATAAGGTCTGGCTGACAGGTCAACATTTATATACTCATAACACGTGTCAATTTGCCCACAGATTGTTTGCAACGTGCAATAAACCACATCCTTGCATCGGAGTTGCAGAAACAATACCTGAGCAGAAGGGCTTTCAACGCATGCAGCAGTCCCGGTTGCGTCTGCATTGCACGTAAGCAGCCAAGGAAACCGGATGATTCTGTCCATCAGCAAGCTGGTGCTGTCGGCAAAGGATCTTGAAATGCTTGCGTGAAACCCTGGCCACAGTTCTGCCAGTTGTCACTTGAGTTCAGCTACAGGTAGCCTCCCGAGTCTTGCCCTACCCAGCCTGCTTTGGAGTTCTTTCCTAGGATCAAGATCACGCACAACTGTGGTGGCAAAGCGTTCCCCTGAGAACAGCCAGGGCTCTCAGGGACGAGGAAGTCCCAGAAGGAGGGAAGCTGTGCAGTTCGCCCCACCAACAGCTCCGAGCTGCCTGGTGCCGATTTGATGAGATACCTCCAAGAAGTGGCGGAAAAAAACACCAGCACCAGCTTGTCCGTGGCGAAAGAGGCGTCTTTTGAACGCGTACGTCTGTTTGACAGTCTCAGCACCACTCGGGTCCCCAGACCGCGTACGGGTGTCGGTGACTCCCTCAGCATACCTCAGGCAGAAAAAACAAAACAAGAGCCGAGCCATCAAAACGCCGTTTCACAGAAATGGCTTCCGTATTTTTGGGGCAAGTCACACACACTTCAGCTGACACTGCGGAAGCTCTGCGACCTCAACAGGCAAACGAGCAACGCAACGAGCTAAGACCTGAAGAGAGGTTCGCTCAGACGCAAACACTGGATGCAGCAGTTGGATGTGAAGGCGGAGACCTTGAAAGAGGCTTCTTCGGTGCAAAAAAAAAGGAGTTGAATTTAAGCCGTTCTCCACCAAGACACGGAGAAACTTGACTTCCGGGCAGTCGCAAGAAAGACAATGGCACATGATCTTCAAGTTGGCCTCGGCAAGGCTGTCATCACTGACAGCGATGACTGACTGCGGCATCTGCCGCTCTCAGAAACTCACCATCATTGTACTTCACAGCGGCAGTGCTGTCAGGGTTTTGGCGAAGGATCCAGCCTGCAGGATGATTGCACAAAACAGTGGTTTAGCAGGCTGTCAAGTAAAAGACATGATTCAGCAAGGTGATCGCTTTTGAGGGGGGGCCAATCGCTTTTGCAGGTGTTAGCCAAATTCCCAAAATTAACGATTCTGTTTGGCGGTTGCTCATTTGGAGTCTGAGTGAAGGGCCTTGGTACCACTGATTTCCTCCACGCCACCTCACCTGCACAACCATACTCGTCAGCTGCACTGGCTTTGCTCAGGCTTGTGCAGCCATCCCCCGTCCAGTGCGCTGCCTCAACAGCAGCACCCACGCACAATGCTGAAGAAGACCTTGGTCGTGCACAGCAGCACTAGGTGGCAAGCTAAAATAGAAAGCAGCAAATGAAAGCTGAGCTGCCATTGCCCAACTGAGGCTTGAGAGGCTGCCTGAATTTCGAAGAAGTGCTACAAAGTTGACATGACCGCGATTCCGACGATTCCTCTAAGTTGCTGAAGTTTCAGCAGCTCTAGGTACATCAGGAGCATCTGAGTGCAGGTGGCGAAGCTCCTCTGCGGCTTTGGACAGGCACACGAGGCGCTTGTGAAAAGTCTGACTCCTCCACCAGCTGCTTAAAAAGTGGCCGGCAACCTCGGCCGCTTGTTTCAGTTTCACGGCGTGGGACTCGTTTCGGCCACTTTGTGAAACAGCTGGGTCCAGGCACGGGAATTGATGCAGCGAAAAGCAATTGAGCAAAGCACCTTCACTTCTCTCAGCTGCTTCACTTCACGAAAGAGAAAAGCAATTCCTTTGACCAACCTACGAGTACTTGCGATGACCTCCAACCTACTAGCGATGGCCTCAATTCCTTTGACAATTCCTTTGGTCTTCTCTATGTTTCACAGTACACGAAGCACCGTTTTGGAAGCCGGTGGCGTCGACCACCTCCGACAACCCGAGAAGCATGTTTTTAGCACCTCGAAGACTTTGGTCGAGAATCCAGCAGTCGGGTCGAGCATTTGCTGGACCTTCTCCTGGCCTCGACCAAACGAGAAAAAACACGAAAAACTGCATATTGGCGTTTGGTTTTGTTGGCGTATCATCGAAGCACCCGAACCTGTTTGGAACTGCATCCAAGTGGCTGCCTTGCAAAAAATCGACCTTGGCACGAATCTCAACCAAAGGATGAAGAAGCATCCCTCATCAGGGCCGAACTAGGAACTTGTATTCCCCTGGACGGTCTGCGCAACAGACTGCCGGAGGAACACCAGTGAGCAACTCCAAGAGGAGGATTCCAAAACTGTACACCTCCGTCACATGAGGGAAGAAGTCAAACCAACAGTCCAGACCGCACCGACAATGTCAAACCCGGAAACTGGCTTATCGTACGAATAAGAGCATCGAACAAAGAACCGAACGAAGATGAGAAATGGACCAATCCGATCAACAACTCCAAATCCCCCGCGCTCCATGCAGCGCGCCTCGCTACCTTCGGAGATGACCCCCGTACCTTGGAGGACAAGGGATGGGCACCACGGAAGCGTGAAAAATCCGAGTGCATCAAATCCAGTTTGAAGGAAACAAGGCTGGATGAGGCTGGATGGTTTGAAGAAAAAATGCCTTGGAAAATCTTGAAAACCTCCTGTTCGGTCTTTGCGAGACAAATCCCAGCAAGTCTTCTGAACATCGGTGCAAACCCGTCCGCACCTCAAAAGAAGAAAGGATGACTCCGCTCGTTTTCGGAATGGATGACTACTGGGTCCGTCTGATGTGATGAAAATGGCCGTTTGGAGTCTTGGTGATGTCGATGTCGATGCCAAAATCCTCCCGCCAAATCCTCCCATATCCATCACTCCGGCTCGCATGGCTCGAAAATTGGGGCGTGGCCCTTCAAGTCATTTCTTCTTCGTGGCTCGATTCTCGGCCCGAAAACGGACCGAGGTCGTCTTTCATAGTCTAAGACTGCCAGTGTCCCAGTGTCAAACCTGCATGGGCTGCTGATAGAGAACCTGAAACACAAACAACCTAAGGACCTGGCCCGGCACAAAGCGAACCTCCTGGCGAACCCTCCAACGATGATCCGGTCGAGGTCAGCACCGGTCGATTTGGAATTGCCCAAGACAGCTCTGGCAGGGCAAGTCCGAAGGCTTTACCAAAAAACCAATTCCACCGAGAAGAAAGCAACTGGTGAGCACCTTCCGATTGGAAAGGACTTGTGTTGGAAGATTTGGACGACACAAACCCTTTTGTTCGAGCAAATCGTTATCTTGATCTACGGAAACCTTGAGACGAAATGCGATCAAGCTGCGGAGGTACTCGGGGCATGCGTAGCCCACTGTGCCCCCAACCCTGCGGACTTTGTGATGTGGTGCACCTGCCGAGAGTGGCTGACAGGTCGGACAGCTGACAGTGGCTGACAGGTAAAAACGGCCAAAATGGTGCCACTCATACAGTCAAGCAGCTTGACAAACAAGCCAATCCTTGGTGAAAATCTTGGCATGTACAACTCAACAGGATACATCGAATCTGTAGCTGGATATGTGTTTGTGTGTGTGTGTGTGTGTTTTTTTCTCTTTTTTTTTCGGATAGTCTAATTTCGGAGTCCTTAGCTTCGGCGTTGATGCTTAAACTTAAACAGGACAAAGCCTACAGTTTTGGATCATTGGCCAATTTGTCACAGAGTTTGAGCAGTCGCAGAACCTCACCCAACCTCTGGCTTTTGGGCCATGCTCCTTCTTCCAGGGAGTGGTGGGGAGGTCTCCCTATTTTCATCCACACCCATATGCCATATGGCCATGGCTCTGGGTTCATGGCACCGACCTGAGAACGGACCGGTCGTTCGCTCCAACCCGTCTCTCGGGTCGTCCACTGCGAGTGATGCCCTCCACCGAGAGTCCAAAGTCCGCCATCTTCGCTGTACCGTACTTGTCCAGCCTTGTCTTGCCGATCCGAAGTGGAAGCGACTTCGGATCCGTCTCTTGAAGGATGCGCAAGGACGAAGTGATCCTAAAGACCCTTGTGTCTTGCGGGTCAACGATGTCCTTTAAGATGATCCTATCCACTCACATACATCAATCCCCATAGTGCAACCCCACAGCAGTTCATGCTCATTTTAGACGGGGCTTGACATCTGCGGGGCGAGATGGATTGAATCCACCCTTTGCCGTCCAGGTGCAGGATATTCTGGGACTTGATATCTCGATGGAAAGCCCTGCGCTGGTGGCAGAAACAATGAAAAAGTGTCAACTCGGGCTACAAGATCTCATGGCCCATGAAAATCCACGTCCAATATCTTCCGATAATCCGATAAGCTCTTCAAAAACTCCTAGCATACATCTTCTTGGGGTCACTGAGCACTGATGCACGCACAAGCAAAAAGGACTGTCCTGGGTGTCATGTTGTGCAAGTGCGACAACCCGCAGGCCGCATCCAAAGCCACGCTCACCCGCAGCTGGCCGCTAAAGGGCTCTTTCTTCTGGCGGCCTCCAGCGGAGCGTATAGAGCTCAACAGAGGTTTTTCAGGAAGATCACAGGGATTGGAACTTCTGAGTAGAAAAAACGAAGACAAAGGGCCTTCTGAAAAAAAAGAAAAAAACATACATCTTGGGAAGAGCACTTGGCAAAAGACCCAAAAGACTGGCAACTGAGGTGGGGGCTTCCAGCAATTCGCTTCGCCACATCTCCACCAGACAAGAACCTCGAAAAGAAAATAGTATGGGACTTTGGAAAAGAATCATCTTGCAGCAGCAACTTTCCTCTCGCGCTCCCATCTTTGCCAAGCTTCTCATATATCAAGCTCCTCCACCCCGTCTCAGCATGCCTGCAAATCAATCTGATAATATATTGGGTCTATCCTATTGCCTGTAACAGTGGATGATGATGGTTCAGTTGCAGGCCTTTGTTCAAAAATGATGATAAGGCCTTGTTTACTGACTGTTACAGGTAAGAACGGACAGACCCTAATTATATAGTTATAGTTGTGTTGTCGTTCCACCCTCTTCTTCATCCCCTTCAAGTGCACTCCCGCATCACCTGGCGAAGCCCATGAGGATCACCAAATTGGGATGGCGAAAGCGCGAAAGGACTCTCACCTGCCATACCACAGTTCGGTCCCCAAACTTACGTCCGATTCGAAACACAACCAGCTCACCTCCTCTTCGAAGCCGCCTTCGTTTGGCACCTGCAAGACCTCACCGGTCACGGAATTTGGTCGATCGATCGTTCGTCGATATCATCGTTGCATCGCATCCGTTCGGTCGCGCACCTTGATGGCGACTTCAGTACCATCCTTCATAGTACCTTTGTACCTGGGTTTTGGTGTGTGTTTGGGTGTTGGCTCTTGGCCATCTAGGCCTTGGAGCCTTTGCCAGTCTTCAATTTGGGATTGGTACCTTTGTATACCTTTGCACCTTAGGATGAAAGTGGAACGTACTTCACTTCAAGGGGAGGAGGGACGTCATGCTACACCCAGGATCGATAGAGCTGGGATGAAAGTTCTGGCCATCCACTACTGACAATTGGGTTCTGGCCATCTGAACAGTCGATGATCAAAGCGGCCCAGTGGCACTTGCCCGAAGGAGCCTGAACCAAGCAAACATTTCTTGTCAAAGCTCTCCGTCGCAATGTTGAGCTCTTCCTCACTGTACCTCAGAAATAAGAACTTTCCAAAAACTACAAGCTTCAAATCCGACCCTGAAACCCGAAACTGCACGCTCAAAAGTATACAAGGTGGCCAACATTGCTCTAAACAAGTGATGCCGCGCCACTCGTTGCTCGCATCATTCAAATGAGAGTCCGTCTTCAACGGACTGCTGCTCAAATACTCACCTTCTGCTGCCACAGAACGCAAAAGCTACATTCATAGAGCGACCAAAGCTAAAGCTGTGCTAAAGCCACAGTTTCAAAGATTGGGGTGTGTATTAACAGAGATGAATAGAGTAGAGGGACCTCCCACAAACTCCGACCGTTGGGAAGAAGGGAATAGACCAAACATACCCATTGGGCCAGGGGCTGCATCAAATAAGATACACACACATTTCCGTCTAAGCCACTCCATTGGTTCAAGAAATCCCGAACTCCGTCCATGCAGACGGGAGATAGGTGGCATGCATGGAGACGTTTCAGAAACGCATGGAGATCCAATGGTCACATGATTGGCTCGGATGACATGGACTGAGACAGTAGGACTATTATGTAGGACTGGATGCTGCAGGTCTTCTTCCGTGGGTGCACTCTTGCAGTTGCGGTATGCAGGCCTGCTGTGCAATCTGATGTTTGAGCAAAAACTTTCTGGAGATGAGATGTACTGCAGAAACAAAAGATCAATGATAATTCTGCAGTTCCCACATCGGAGCTCTCTCAACTTTGCAGAGCTTTCGGACCAACACCGCTTGTTTTTTCATGGCCGAGCCTCTCCGACATGCTGCCGATCCAATCGGACATGGGCGCATGGTCGTGGCTCGAGCTACAGGTGTCGCACTTCTGCGAGCAAGAACCCTTGAATCATGATGAAGAGTATCAATGAGCTGGCTGTCACTTTCGTCCACAAGGCTTTCGGAAAGAGAAGATGAAACCTCAGTGGAGGTGAGGAGGAGTGAAAGTCCTCACTCACTCAGCTATGTCTGATTCCCTCCAGCCGTTATTGTTAGCTAGACTTCTTCAAAACAAGAAGCAAGGCAGTTGCGGCAAAGACTATGGAGGTACAGGTTGAAGCAAACAAGCCAAGCCGAAGAAGCCGGTACCGCTCAGAAAGCTCCAGCTGCTGCTCAGAAAGGTGTGTCAAGTTTGAGGCTTTTTGTGAAAAAATGGATTCCAAACGCTGGATTGCTTCTAGCAATTCCGTGGAGTCGCACCCGGTGGTGTTTCTGCCGCTGGGGACTTTTGCTGGTTCTGGGCGAACCTCAGCCCTTTGGACGGGAGTAATGACTCCGAAGTCAGCTACCAGGGGCAAATGGTCAGAACCCAAACTGCTCACCAAGGAAGTTCTCTTCACTTGCCCCGGTGGAGCAAGGACACCTCACAGGGCGAGCCACTTGCTTATCTTGCTTGGCCATGCTTGGCCACCAAGTTTGTCTTAGTTGATGGAAGCAAAAAAAACAAGACACATCAAGAAACGATAATGGCGGAACCCCTTGATGGCTGCGCCTAGGACTGACAATCTTGCAGGACGAGAATGGTCAGAGCGGCGCTGCTCCGGCATATAGAAAACAAAGTCTAACGTGCCCCCTTCATGCGTCATGGGCTCCGTTCCAATCACGTCCGAGTATGCACTGACAAAGACATGGGGTGATCGGTCCAGGACCAACATCTCGTAGATCGAGCCTGGATTCCAGGGGCAGAGTTTGGAAGCTGGAAACTGACCATTCGGACATGGTACTCTTAGCACCAAACTGCTTCTACCGATCACGAGGCCCCAAATGGTTCGGTCCTTCCCTTGTGTCCCGCCTTGCAGCAGCTTGGACGGATGGAAGCCGGATGCCTTGATCGCTGTCATGAGGAATCCAATCGATTCGGCGCTCAAATTCCCCCTTGTCAGCAATTCATAAACAGGACTCGGAAGTGAGATGTCTTCAATCTCCGGCATCGACCAAGTCTCAGCGGGGTTTTTGATTTGATGGCTGAGCCGCTCAAAGGCACTCTCTGGAAAGAAGGGCGGGACATTGAAGTCACCTGCCAAAATGCAACTCAAGCTCTTGTGCTTCAATCGTTCCTCACGCAAGATTTGATGCATCGCATCCAACAATACGTTGGTTTCATAAAGCTGAATATCCGTCCTCAAAGGCAGGGAGGATGTCGGATTGGCTGTCAAATGTATTGCGCCAATCAGAATTGCATGCGAGTGAACTTGCTGCCCTAGGCATCTCAGTGTGACAAATAAGACGACATTTTTCCTGGTTAAATATCTCTCCTTGGGTCTGAGCACGGGAAGATCGCCAAACTATGAATGCATCATTCTGAAAGGAACCTTGTATCACGGAAAACCTTGCCATCGTCTACCCGGCAAACGATGGGCGGTGGTGGAGCACTAGCGGTGATGGCGGCGCGGGTGGAGGAATTGAAGTGCTGTAGCACTTCCAGCTTGATGTGGTGAGGGAGATGGGCGCGAACTCTGCATGTTTAGGTCCACAAAATGTCGCAGCCAAGAAACCTGACATATCTGCACATCCTCCTCAAAACGCCTCACAAAATCTGCACTTCGAGGTCAATTCAGCACCTGTTACGACACGCCACCGCGCCCTACCGAGATCCACCAAGTGTTGCACCTGCCGCGAAATCAGCAAACAAAGCCTGCAACTGTCACGAGATCTCTACTCATGTCCAGCGCCTGCAACTAAATCTGCTCTAGCACAGTCCTGCTTGAAGTTGTCTTGACCGCTTCTGAAGCGAAGTCGTTCGCTGTGCCGCGGAGACGAAATCTGAGACCTGCCAAGATATCCAAAACAGCGCCCCTGCGAGGAAAAGAACAATAAGTAAGTCCGAAAAATGCGCACGGCACCACAACAAGTGCGCGCGAAACCGCAAAAGGCCGCGACGAGCTGTTGCAACACATCCTCTACCCCACCCTGGGCAAGGAAGTGTCGGAGCTTGCAACGAGTCTAGAACCCTTGCACGAAACTTCGGAGGAAGCCATCCTTTTCTGTGACGAAACCTCAACAAGACCCCTTTAGTGGTCCACGCTGTTTGGGGGGAAAACATGAAGAAGCCGTTCCAACTCCAAGTGGTGATGCTGATGTGTCCACCATCCCAACATTTGTGTCCACTGTGTCCATTTGACGAAGTCAAGTGGAAAGCAAAAGCACTGGGTTGACATCTCCAAGTTTCTCGCTGCTCCTTATTGAAGTCTTCGTTGAAGAGTGAACGCCAAGGAGTTAAGGCTGTTGTGGTCAGGTCAAAATCCGTAGCGGTGCTCAACGCAAATTTGGACGTGCGCCAGAACACCGCCAGCCCGATTCCAGCATCTATCCCTGTGTATACACCCTGGTAACCACGAGCTTTCATGAAGGGCTGTACTTGCTCATCGTAGATCAACACCTCCACCTCTTGCAAAACCATGACGTCCGGCCTCCGCAAACGAATCTCTTGCACGATGCGAGCAAACCTGGCTTGCCAGTTGGATTCTTTGACGCCTAAATTGTCCCACGTGGGTGCCAGAATGTTCCAACTCAAGAGCCTGAATTTGCTTGCCACATGTTCCAACTCCGACGACAAGTCTCTGGAGGCAGGGACGAAATGCCGTGGTGGCCCAAAGCCCTTCACCGAAACATTGAAAGCCGATGTGGCCGCAATGACGGAGAGCCAATAGAATTGCAACAAAGGCGGCATGGGCATGTTGCGGCCTGGAGCACTGGCATCCTAATCACATGCTGAACGTGTCGCTGGACCGGTGAATCACACGTGCTGCGGGGCAAACAAACGTGCAAAAGTGTATCACAGACCGATACCTTCGAGTAGGGCAGCAAGCAGAACGGATGGCAACCAAACAGTGTCCCCCTCAAGGTGCAATTCCAGAGAACGGACATACTCGCGACGACCGGCTTCCTCAACCCCACACCAGAAAGGCTCTCAGAACCTGAACAGTGGATGATGATGGTCAGTAACGGTGAGTAAAGGCCTTGTTCAAAAATAGTGATGTTCTTGTTTACCGACCGTTACAAAATCACCACCGAGTATTGGAAAGCATGACCAACCCTCCCAGGCATGGACTGGCAACACATTAACAGTTGTTCACTCAAGAATTTTGGAGGGTTCTGTTATCATCTGTTATCAACAAGGCATCAGAAAAGCGTTTCCTTGCGAGCTCAGTTGATCTCAGCCCCGTTCTTTTTTCGCCGACCCGCGGGGGACGGTTCGGGGAGCCATGGAGCGTAGTGTGAGATTTCAACGTATAGGTACATATGTATTTAATTTCAGTTTTTCAGAATATATGATCACGTAACTCACAACTCATATTGGATTACGCAACTGCACTAACATCACATTGTCTCTGCCCGCTGGTTCTTGATTGTCCCGTCCTACTTTGGGGGGCCATTCCAGACCCGATCTCAGCCAGTCCCTGTGTCTTTTTGCTTCGGGTCTCATGTTCGTCCCGCCTACTCATAATTAAATAGGGGTCAGTGGCACAGGGGCCGCAACCCGATTGTACCAGTCCCTACATCACGCCCTTCTTTCGAGATGTCTCATTTTTCTGAAGGTCTGGTCAGTCCGGCGGATTCAGAAGTGAAACAGGGACAGTGAGACATGCCCTTTGGCTTCGGGAAATCATTCATCCCTGTAAATTTGGCAATGCCTTGCAACTTGGTGACACCTAATAGTCTTTAGATACCAGCTTGGGCATTTGATCGTGATACCATATTCAGCTCAGATAGTTCCTGCAAACACAGGCTGTTGAAAGCTGTGACTGGAAATCAACAACAGAAGTGAAGACACCACAGTTGAAATCTTTGGTAGTTGTCATGGATCTTTGCTTCTTCATGGGACAAGGTCTTCCAGCGGCTATGTCATTCAAACAACCATGCATGAGATATGTTGAAAATTGTGGACTGTCTACGCTCAAAAAATGACTGATTCCAACAGGGGCTTGAAACCGCTGCTGTTGACCATAAGACAAGACACCTCTCTTCATATCGGACGACTACCAAACCACACATCTCCCATGCTAAAAAAGAGAAGTCACATCACATCCATCATGATGGGTAAATATGCATGAAGCCTAAGCATTGCTGCAAAAGGAAAGGACGGGTGTAGCCGTGTTGCGGTGTCGGGGTGTAGTGTGTAGCGAGCTTCACGCCGCTTCAGCATAGTGCTGAATCCTGAGACGCCACGATGCTTCTGCTTAGGAGCCAAACCTGAGTCAGGAGAGGTACCGTGTCGGGCGTGTCGGGCCCACGGCTGCTTGTTTTATGGTCACTGCATGTAGCTTTTTGTAGATTAAGAAGAACATTTGTATGTATCACAGTGGGTGACATCGAAGCTGCGCGGAGGCGTGCTTGACCAAACTTTACTGAAGGTGGTAATGTTTTAAACAAGGCATGCTCCATCCAGAAATGGGGTCATAGTCATATGTACATTACATGTGCGTTTGATGTACTGTCGTGGTATGTTACCAGTGACAAATGGAACTGTCACCAAAACATTGGCTCCGGTGTTATGTCTTCTCTGTTGCAGTGCCTCCACACTGTCACTAAATGAATGAAGAATCATATCTTGCATGCATGTGCCCACCCTGTGTCTATGGTGATTGTTCTTATTGAATCCAACGACGCATTTTGGAACAAATGCAGTGCTTTGTCCGTGCTGGTCAGTGTGTAGCACAAAGGTTTCTTTGTCTGTGTGATGCCTTGTCGGGCAGAAGCAGGCCTATGTGGACTCAGGCGTTTGTGTCCTGGTTTCGGTCCAGCATGCCAGTGACCAAACAAAAGGCCAAAACCTTGAGGTCATCATTTTCAATCAAGGGTTGAATTTGATAAATTTCTCGCATCCAAGGTCATCCTGAACAGCGTGTTCGAAGGGATTGCTCTGTTTCCCGATGTTTCCCAGAATTTTGAATGTTGTCTCGTCCGCCGCCCCACTCGGGGGGTGCGAAAAAGCCAGATCTGAACATTTCTCGTGGCTCAAAAAAGACAGCGCTGTTAATCCAGAATAAGCTGAAAGGTCCTGAAAGGTGAGGTTGAAGGAGTCAAATGATCTGACGTCGGGTTTTCGATGAGGTGAGAGTCATTTGTCGCAACACACGAATGAGACCAGGTGCATTTCAGGTCCAAATTGACCAGTTGAACAACGCTGATGGCCATTGAGTATATTCGGCCGAGGAATGCCGTCGCAAACTACGGTCGTGACATCCTCCCTAAAGGTCTAGGTCTCTAGGTTCCTGTTCACACCAAGCCTTTCATGCAAACGAAAAGGTGGCTGGTATACTGGTATATATCAATCTCTGATCCCAAGACCGTGACATGGAGCCACCACGAACTGCCACGCTAGCTTTCGGCTTGAACTGGCACCAAACCTTCACATCAGCCCAACAAGTCTTGTCCATGCCATGCATGCTAGCAGCTTCATCCGTTTGTCGCCATCAATGTCTGCCTCCACAATAAATTTATCTATGGCCGTGTGACCGCCAAGCTCTATGCAATCGTTAGTCAAAGTTTCAAAAGACCAAGACATATTTCCCCACCCCCCCGCTAACATCGGTTTCTCCAAATGTTCCACGCGCCTTGGGATCAGGTCGTGGAGCGGTCTGCACAAGTGCACAGAAAGCGTCAAAGGATATATATATAATATACTGTACAGTATAGCAATAGAAACAATACAAAAGATAGACTGCTGGCTTGCAGTTGTTTGAAATCTGGAGTCGGACCCCTATCTGAGTGCCAAGGTTGGTTCGAAGTCCAGCTGGGCGCAGCAGCCAGCAATCAACATGCCAGATGACATTCTTCTTGATGCCCCGCCCCGAATCAGCCCGAATCAGCAACTCTTCTCAGTTTTGCAGGAAGCACAGTGGTTTGGCCTCGTCATCTGGTGGCTCTTCTTCAGTCGGCTGTTCCTCTTGGCAACTGAGAGAGATCTTTTTACAAACAGGTTCTTGAACAGCGGCTTTGATAGTATTGTGGTGAGTGCGGACTTCACAGTAGGCAGCAAAAAATCATAGTATCATAAGTCCAAAACCATGAACTTGAAAGCTAGTTACTTGATCTCTTTGACTTACCACACTCCATCTCAGACTCGAGTTGCAAACATCTCAATTCTCAATTTGCGTGAAGGTCAATGTGGAGCAACATCTCAGGCCTGGTGTTGACAGAGAGACTCTTTTCAGGTCCAGAAAACATACTGGCACATACATTTGTACACATTATACGTGGGCCGTTCCCACGTTTTGCAGGCTTCCAGGTCAGACATGGGACACGTCGGCCACAGCCTTCTGCACGTAATCCCCCGTGAGCTGATTGCCATTCTTGAAGACCCAAACACCTTTCCCAAAGGGCTTGTTGTACCTGGCCGACTTCTTCGCTCCCCTGCGGATGAGGCAAGTCCAGTCGAATCGATGAGTAGACAATCACTGTGGACCAGGGCTTTCAATCCCAGATCCTGTGCGCTTCAACAACCGTGCGGGACGGCGGACTTGAATTGGAGAGCGGGGGTAGACCAGGGGATGAATTGCTCAACTGCCTGCCTGAACTTGCCACAGTAGAAGGTGCCATTGGGAAAGACCCACCTGACTCGGTGGAGCCTTGAGGCTCTGAACAACTGAGAGTGCTTTAGCTCCTAGAAGCATGGGGTGGAAAGAACATTTGCCAAAAGGACCACATAGAAGCGCATGGTTCTGCAACATACACATCAAGTGAACACTCGGAATCCAAGACGACAACATTGCAATATGGTCATATGAATATATCAAGCTGTTCATGATGGTTCGCTCACTGACTTATCTGATGTAATTATATATGTATGCTCATTAGTAGTGCAGCCCGTAGACATCCGTAATTATACCACAATTCCAGAACTCGGACCATGTCTGAGGTCACGTCTTCTTCCTAAAGAACCAGCTGCTTTCCACTGGTCACCAGTGCCGCTCAGATGCTTTCCGCTGGTGATCTTCCCTTCTTCCCATTCTCCAATCAGCTGCGTTCCATCCTTCGCAAACCTCATGGGAAGAACATTGCTTGGCCCCGTTTCATCCTGCGGACCGAGGGGTCATTTGGCGAAACAAGAAAAAGGAGCGATTACACTTAGCAATGGTCGTGAAGAAGGAACATGAACTTAACCAGTCAGGTCCTGTGGCGTCTTTCACCCGCTATTGTCATACATGTGCATTCTGCGATAGCGCAGGCTCTTGTGCCTCTGTTGTTTCTGGAATTGATGCCAAGCTGCTGGATCCCATTTTACAAGACTGGAAATGAACATCGAAAGCTTCCGGACTCCAGCTCTACTTCAGGGTCCCCAGCGTGTAAGTACCTTTGCCCTGCTTCTTTCCTTCTCGCCACTGACCCGCATAGACCTAGTCGCTGGCTGAAAAGAAACAAGGCTGTCCCGCAGTAAACCATCACCACCTGGTTCTGGCACAAAACCAATCTGATGATATCAATGTCCCATGAGAAACTGCTAAAATTAACACATGCTCGTCTCTTTCCTCGTCTCTTGCTTCAACTCCGGCGAGCCGGGCTAAAAAAACACACAATGGCGCATTTGGCGGCGCATGGCGCGACCAATTCTGTGCGGTCCAAGGATCATCCCCATTCACATATGTGAAGGTGCCTTCCGAAGGTGCCTCACAACACAAAAGTTGCTCTACGTGAGCCTGTCGAACGTTACAACAAAAAAAAGCAAGGCGTCGC